TAAAGGCCAGAAGTTACTGGTCACAGGATGAGTATATTTTTTCAAGAAAGTGACAAACCTTTTCTAAGGTGGTTACACCATTCTACCTTCCCACCTACAGTGTATGACAGTTTTAGTTGCTCCATTTATTCTATACTAGGGCAGACTTTTTGATTTTGGTATTGTCAGGCTTCTCTATTTTAACCATTCTAGACAGTAGGTATGGTAGCTCATAAGATTTTAACTTTTCTTTTATGGCTTGTAGCTAGATGTCTCTCCAAAGCCTTATGCAAATGAGGATTTTCTGAGGTGGCTCGATCTAGGATGTGTAAATGTTAATTAAGGGTGTGATACTGAGATTAAGTGTGTGGTACTGGATTAGTCCACTAACTGTTTTATCACAGTTCTGGGCATGGGTAATGGGAAGCCCACCCTGGGTGTGGGTGGCACCACCCAAAACGCTTGTGGCTTGGATTAGATAAAAGGGAAAGGAAGGCGTGCTGCTGTTGCTGCTTGCTGCCTTCTGCCTGCCCTACCATGGACTGCTTTTCGTCTGAAGTGCTGCCCTGCCTTAGGAGTCAGTCAGCTACGCACTGAAACCTCTACAGATTGCAAGCTGAAAGAAACCTTTCTTCTCTTAACTTGTGGCAGTCAAGTATCTTGTCCCAGCAATGAAAAAGTAACTAAGACAATTTCCTTGGTGACTAGTAATATTGAGAACATTTTCACATACTTACTGTCCATTCATACATATTCTTTTGTAAAGTACCTGCTTTTAGGCTTTTGTTAATTCTATAGTTATTTTCCATCTAACATAGTTGTCTCTGTATATAGAATGAACATCTACAATATTTGTTTTGTATTCCTGATATAACAAATTATCACAATTTGTGACTTAATACAAATTTAATATTTACAGTTCCACAGAATTAAATGCAACACAGGTCTCACTGGACTAAAATTATCCATTTCACATACAAAATACATTCATCCAGTCTCCCAAAATCTCAATACAATGCAGCACCAATTCAAAGTCCAAGGTTTTATCTCAATCTCACTGATTCTAAAGTGTCAATCAAAGTCATATAAATTAGGTATGGGTGAGAATCTTAGTATAAACCATCCAGAGGCAACATTCCTGCCCCTCTTCAGACCCACAAAGCTAGAAAACAAGTTCCCTGCTCTAACAATTAAAGATATTTCCACTATAAGAGAAAACAGAATGAAAGGTCACTGGTCCCAAACAACTGTAAAATCCAGCCAGGCAAACAGAGTAGGTTTTTGCTTGGGCAGAATTCTGTAAAGTTTTCAGTGCCATCCTATAAGGCTTGCCCCTCTGTCCCTGAGTTAATGCTCCTTTTTCATAAAAGGTAGCTAGCATGACTTAAAAGCTGAGTAGTTCTATTAGCTTGTTGCCTGCCTGAACAATTTTGTGTACTGGCAGCCTTCTTTTACTTAGTCTTCTCTGTCCCTTCAAGTCCAAGCTGACAGTGTTTCTGCTGGCACGAGAGCCTCAAGATCAAGAACCCTGTGCTGTGCAGGTCTACCATGTCAATTCCCAAACTCAGTCTACTGCATAGCAGACTTGCCAAAGATTTTATGTTGATAATCCCATCTCCATTTTTGGCTTCTTAGTTGGAATCTGTAAGTCTCACTTTTGGTATCTTCAGAGTGCTCTGTGTGAGTGAATACTCTGACCTTTTAATCTGAGGTTCCAGCAAAAAGGTTCTGCAGTGACTCCTTTGGCTTTTCCTCTAGCACACATTTTTTTTTGACAGTAAATCTCTTCGTTTTAACATTCTCTGCAATTTGGGTAGATTGAAAATTTCCAAAATCTCAAGGTCTAGTACATTTTGTTTAACAGGTCTCCCTTCAATTTATTGCTCTACTTTCAAATTTTGCTAAAATCAGTAAAGAGAAACCAGAGTGCACCTTCAACATTTTGCTTGGAAATTTCCTCAGTTAAACATCCAAGTTCAATGCTTGTAAGTTCTGCTTCCCACATAACCACAGGCCATAAGTCTGCTAAGCTTTCCGTCACTATAACAACAAGGACCCCTTTCCTCCTTGTCTTAGTTACTTTGCTTATTGCTGACACAACATCATTAAAGGAGGAAAGGTCTATTTCGGTTCACAGTTTGTACATGTTTCAGTCCATAGTCAGCTGGCTCCCAGGCAGGGTGGCATAGCAGAGTGGCCTGGCAGAGGAGAAACAGTCCATGGCAAAGCACAACAAGCAGAAGGCAGCAAGCAGTCTCTTTCTGTCCCTTTATACTCCACCCAGGCTACCCGCCTTTTGTGTGTACCACCTATACCCAGGATGGGGCACCCTTAATCCCAGCACCACACCCTTAATCCAGCCACCTTTGAAACCCCCTTATGACCCCAAGAGTCTTTAGAAGGCACATCTAGATATAAGGCATAACACAACTGTTTCCAACATCTTCCTTATTTCCTATGAGCCCCCACTACCCACAACTTTAATGTCAACATTTCTACCATCAGACTGCTCACGGTGATTTAGGCATTCTCTGAGGGATTGTTTTCTTTGTCCTGTTCCTTACTTTTTTCCTAGTCTATAATAGTCATTAGTATCCATAGTGTTACTAACAGTCTAGGGTTTTTCTCACATGTACCTCAAAATTCTTCCAATTCCTTGCCTAATTCCTAACACACACCCACATTTTTAACTATTTCTACAGTAGCACCTCTCTTGAAAGTACCATCATTTATATTAATTTTCTATTACTGCTATTACAAAGTACCACAAACCTAGAGACAACATTCACTTCTTTATCTTTCCATTATATAGATTAGAAACCCAAAACAGGACTCACTGGGCTAAAATCATATAATCAGGGCTGCCTTCCTTCTGGAGGCTGTTGGGGTTGCTACAGTTTGAGCATGTGCCCCAGAGGTTCCTGTCCTAGAAGCTTAGTATCTATGGTGCAGGTACTGAGGTGGTAGAACCTTGCGGGGGGAATGCAGTACAAGGTGGCACTGTCCTCAGATGGGAAGAAGGCAGGACCTGGTTAGTTCCTGCAACAATGAGCTGCCATACAGAGAGAAAGTCTGCTCCCTGAGCCCCTCTGGCTTCCTGTCTTACCACATGTTCCCTGCTGCACACACTCCTGCCTCTGTGATGCCATCAGTCATGGGGCCCTCACCAGAAGCCAGATACGGCCACCAAACTTTCAGCCTCTGAAATTTTTTAAGTACTCAACCCCAGGTATTTTGTTTTAGAAATAAAAAACAGATTTAGGATATATTTCCAGTTTACAGAAGTCACTTATGCGCCGTGGCTCATGGCCCCCTTCCTCTGTCTTCAAATCCAGCAATACTGCATCCCTCTGACCCTGCTCTCATCATCATGTCTCTATGGAACCCCTTCTGCTTCTCACTTCCATTGTTAAGGATGCGTGTCTGGGCAGGACCCACATGAATAATCCAGGATAATCTCCCATGCTGCTATTTAGCAACTTAATTTCTCTGTACCATATAACGTAACATATTCACAGGTCCTGAGAATTAAGACCTGGACATCTTTAGGGAGCCATTATTCTGCCTTCCACATCTACTAATCAATTAAAATGACCTAGAAGCAAGTTGTAATTCAAAGTAGCCTCAGACAATTCAAGAGGAAGCATTAATAGCTAAAACCCAGATGACTAATATATTTAAAAATTTTTAAATAGTGATTCTAGCAATCTAAAAGTTTTCTGTTTCATCTTTGGGGCAGACACTGTTAGTTGACTAATACAACACCCATTTTCAATTCCTTTCTTCCTTGCCTACCCTTAATGTGTGAATTATAAAAACTAAATACTCATTTTCCTGGCCTCCTAAGGATAGTTGTATAATACAGTTGTGCCAAGTAAAATCTAAAAATTGCCTTGGGAAAAGCTATTGTATTCCTGATAAAAGCAGCAGATGGTGCTGGCACTTTCTGGCCCCCTTCCCAGTAACCCTCCTGCCTTGAGGGTGATGCTCTGCCACTAATTCAGAAACCTATTTTGTAATAATGGAGCATGTCCAAACAAATCCAAGAGTCACCAGCCCAGCACTACTGAATGACTAAACCAACACCACCTAGTCTATGCCTCCAGACCTATGGTTATTAAGGAAAAATAAACTCCCATCTTGTTTAAGTCACTGTTTACATCTTCTTTTCTATTATTTTCAGCTAAAAATTTTCCTCATTACAACTATATTCAATGCAACTTTGGTTAAACACAAGCACCCTCCTCCAGAAATGTATTTTGTTGTATAAAAACCATATTTAGTTAAGTGAGTCATAACTAATAATGAAAAAGGTTTTTAAAATAATACTTATTACATATTTTAGAAGTATAAATTGTACATACTCATTCTAAGATATTTGGAAATTATCAAAATTTAAAGAAATTAAATATCTGCCATAATCCCAAACACCCAGAAATAACCTATTGGTAATTTATCAGTATATTTCCACCGTATTTCTTCTACACACACAATATGTTTTAAAATATATGGAATACACAGACTGCAATCAACTAGCATACAGCATTAAACTTAGTGAAGAATTTTTCCATATCATCAAAGATATTTTTAAAATATTTTCAAAAATTTAAAATATTTCCTAACATTATTAAAACATGATTAAATAATTTTAACAATGATAGACACAAGTTGTTCATCCTTTTCACTTGTAAAATGTGTTGTAATCATTCCACATAAGTCTTGCTATGTCTGATTATATTTTGAGGCTAGTTTTACAGATGCGGTATAATTTAGGCTGAAGGGATAAAACTCTTCATTCAATAAATGCTGCCAAACTGCTTTCTAGAAAAACTGGATCAATTTGTACTCTGCCTTGTGTGTACATGAATATCAGTCTTCCTTACAAATAAAAAATGCTTAACATATGATATTCTTTTAAATGCTTACTGTCTTTCTTACAGTTAAAAAAGTAAAACCAATAGAAAGAAAACAGCAAATATTCCACAAATGTATCTCATCCTAGATTCCGACTATTCACATACCTGCTTGTGACAATTATCACATCCTCAGAGATAGTAGCCATTTCTTTGATGGTAAGGTAGCACATTCTCCTCAACGTTTGCTGAAAAATTATTTATAAAAGGTAACAGTTATTCATAATGAAATGTTTTTCTTAATTGTCTGAAGTGAAGATCCCAAGTAGATATATTTAGAAAAATATATTTTAAAACATTTTTACCTCCCCTCAAAAATTTAAAATATCTGGGTAAGATGATATCCATAATATTACTATTTCCTAAACACAAACATTGTTTTTTTCCTTTTGTTGTTGTTGTTAATATTTTTCAGTACTGGGGATTGAATGAACCCATCCATGGCTTTCACACTGAGTTACATCCCCAGCCCTTTTTTTATTATTTCGAGACAGGGTCTTACTAAGTTGCTAAATTGCCTAGGCAGGACTCAAACTTGCAATCCTAATTCAGCCTCCTTGAGAATGCTGATATTTGACTCTAAACACAAATATTTGATGCACTGACATTCTGGAAAAAAAATCGAAATAAAAATTTAAAAATTCTATTAATTATATCAGTCTTTCTACCAAGAGATCCAAACTTAAGACTCTGATTTGTCTAAGTCCAAAGACATAGCACAGCATTTTCCAAAGTGCTAAAGGCTTGTCCTGAAAGAAGTGTTTTTAAAATTCTTTAAAAATGTGTATGGAGAGATACACACTGTACTTTCCTCAGCTGAGTGTATACCAACGTTTCTCCTGAGCTCTAAGTGATTTGCGCTTAGTTAATCAACTTCTGTTTTCAATTATCAAGATTTCTAGATGAATATCTGGATCTAAAAAGTATTAAACTAATAACAACAAGTCTGCTCCCTTCCCTCCTCGATCTCTGATTTATCCGTACACCACGGGTACCCATCAGACTCCATTTCCATTTGTCCAGCCTCATCCTCTTCTAAGTAACCAAATTTCTTATAAGTAAAGAAATCCAAATATCTCAAACCCAGTTCTAGAATCTAAGCTGAAGAGAGAATCTGGCAGAGGTCATTGAGCCCATTAAAGAAAGCAGAAAATGAGGATTCTTAAGGTAATTTAACAGAGAAAAAAATCAAAGAGAAAGCCAAAATAGGGTAGATCACAGACAAACAAATTTCCTATTAGAAGAAAACAGAAAATATGAATCAAATTTCAGAGCTGAAGAAAATCTGCGCACGCACACACACACACACACTTAAAAATAAACAAAATAGAAGCAGAAGAAAACTTGAGATGCAGTTTAACTAAAGCAGAAAAATAGGGGGGGTCAACATTAGTCATCACCAAAGAAATGAAATTAAAACCATATTTCTGATACTACCTCACACACAACCAAATGGCAAAACTTCAAAAGACTAACAATACAAAGTATTAGCAAAGATGTGCTCTCAGCCAGTAAAATATACTATATAACTAAACACTCAGAAATGCTGAATGACATAGGAACCAAAAGTTAAATAAGTAGAAATGGGCAAAATACAGGCAAATTCACAGGTACCAGAAGTAAAAACAAATCCTCATAGCCAGAGAGTATAAGCCTAGTACCTTAATGCCATCAGCTAGGAAGAACTGGATTCCATAAGGTATATTCTTCAGGCACAATGGAAATTATTCCAGATAGTAACTCACAGAGAAAACAAAACTCACAGGGAGGGGGTAAAAAGTGGTAAAGACATTAAGTCTCAATGAATAACAACAACAAAACCCCACAAAATTAATGTGTTATAAAATGAAGGATTTATGTATGTGTGTCCATGTATATGTAACACAGACATGTTTATATACATGTGGAATGAGAGCGTCCTAAGACTGACAGATTTCCCATAAGCAGGGAAAAGACAAAAATGGATATCAGATTTGGTAAGTCAAAACTCCACAATGCAAACTGTAGGATAACAACCCAAAGAACTTCCAAACTATTACCCCACATGTCACTGATGCTGTCCAGTTTTAGTATCTTTGATTTATTTTAGATAGTTTCTATTATTAATATGTTTTTATCCAGATGTCCCCCCAAAGTTTTATGCTTTCATAGCTGGAGTTTTTCTGAGCTAGCTCAATCTAGAGTGTGTGATACTGTGATTAAAGATGCATGGTACTAAACTAGTCCACTGACTGGAATTAGCACAGTTCTGGATAGGGATAATGAAAGCCTACACCCCTGGGTGTGGGTGGCACCAATCATATGCTTATAGCCTGGATGGACTATAAAGGAAGACAGGGAAGGCAGGTTGCTGCTTTGCTGTCTTCTGCCTGCCACACCATGAACTGTTCTTTCTGTGATCACCATCTGCCATGCTGCCCTGCCTTGGAGCCAACTGATTATGGACTGAAACCTCTACAAACTGTGAACTAAATAAAAGTTTCCTCTCTTAACCTGTGGGTGTTACGTATTTTGTCCTAGCAAAAAGAAAAGTAATTAAGACACTATACTAGTATGTGATATTTTTCCTGCATCTCTAATCTGCTATTAACCCCACGCAGTGTATTTTCTACTTTATAAACTGTTTTAAAAAAAAAAAAATCCAGAAAGTGTACGTGCATTTTGTCTTCTTCTTTACTCATTTTTTTTATGCCTTTCAATACATGCTTAAGTATACAATGTTTATAACAATTGTTTCAATGTCACTGTATGTTCACCCCATTATCTTTATCTTTTCTGAGTTTGTATCTGCTGACTCAGTTTTCTCCTGCTTAACTGTCTGCTTCTTTGCTTAGAGACTAACTGACTGACTGATTGCTGTACTTGGGACTGAACCCAAGGCCTTGTGTGTGCTAGGTGAGCACTCCACCACTGAACAACAACCTCACCCTTTTAAAAAAAATTTTTATTTTGAGGCAAGTTCTCCCCCTAAGTTGTCCAGGCTGGCCTTAAACTGGTGATTTTCCTGCCTTCCTGCCTGAGTACTTGAGATTATAGGTGTATACCCACCATGTCCAGATTTTATGAGACACTATAAATTAAAGAAATTTATGTTAACTACTGGATTTTGTTGTATTCTTTTACATAGTATTGAACTCTATCATGAAGTTAGGTTACCTGGGATTTGGTTTCCTTAAGTTTTGAGGCTTACTTTTAATAAACCTTCGAAAGCTACAATCTAAGGTTAATGTATTCCCATTACTTAGATAACACCCTCCTGAGAACTATGCCACATGTCTTCTATATTTACAGGGTCTTCCCACTCTCACTGATGAGATTATGAACTGTTCTCAGCCTCATGTTCTTCTGATTCTTTTCTGAGCCTTGAATGTTTTCCTTTCACATGTGCATAGAACAGCTCTCACCCACACTCAAGCCATAGTTCTCAGCAGATCCCTGGCTCTCTTCTCCTCTTTCCCACCTTCCTCTCTTGTATTCTGCCCTACAAATTTAAGTTTCATGGCTTCCCCAATATTCATTTGCCTTCCAGACTCAGAGAGAAGGTTAGGCTCTGTTACGGTTTGTGTCCAGATGTCCCTTATGTCCAGATGTCCCAGCCTCATGCTGGGATGAAAAGGTGTGTGATTACTAGTATTTGTCCACTGGTAGATCTGGCACCTGCCCTAAGCCAGATAGCATAAGTAGAATAAAAAAAGGGGTAGAAAGAAGCTGCTCTTGTCTCCTCGTTGGTTTTTGCTTTTCTTGCTTCCTTTTGCTGTCTTCTGCCTGCCATGAACAGTTTCTCCTCTCCAATGCCCCTCTGCCACACCACCCTGCCTTAGAGCCAGCTGATTGGACTGAAACCTCTACAAACTGTGAGCCAAATAAAACTTTTCCCCTTTAATTTTGTGTATCGGGTATTCTGGAAAAGTAACTAAGACAGACCCTTTTCAGTCTGCCCTGCCTGGCCTAAGGCCTAGAACCTGCCTGTGGGCAGTGAACTAGTACATGTGAACTAGTGCAATCCCAGGCTCATCTTGCTTGCTTCCCTTCTTCAGTTCACGGGCCTTGGATGCCTAGTATCTAATGTCTGAAAACTGCTGTTTCAGTTTGTTTGATTATCTAGCAGGATAAAGCCAGCCCCTTTACCATGGCTGGAAACAAAACAGAAATGTGTTCTTTTTTTGTTTGTTTTGTTTTGTTTTGTTTTTTTCCGGTACCAGGGATCGAACTCACAACCTTGCGCTTGCTGGGCAGGCTCTGTGCCACTGAGCTAAATCCCCAGCCCCCAGAAATGTGTTCTTAATGCAAAATATTGGGTAAATTATCTATTCTTTCACTATTAATTTCTAACTCTACTCCACTATAATTAAAGAATACAGTCTATATGACAGCATTCCTTTGAAATGTGTTGTCTGCCTTTGTAGCTAAGTTATACAGCTGATTTCTATAAATGTCCTTTGTACTCTTCATTTACATGTAATGTAGATAAGTCTGTATCTACCATCTTATGCAATGTAGGTTTGTCCTGTTTGATCTGTTTCTCTTTCTTTTTTCCCTTCTTCTGGCTTGATCTTTAGCCCCTTTTCCCAACTAGTTTGGAAGAAAAAAGCAATAGAAGAAAAAAAATCAGTGAAACAAAAAGCTGGTTTATGAAGAGATCAGTAAAGTTTATGAACCTCTAGACAAACTTCTTAGCAATAAAAGTGAAAAAACACAATTTACCAGTATCAAAAAAAAAAAAAAAAAATGACAGACACCACCACTATTCTGCAGGTTTTATAAGAATAAGGGAATATTATGAACAGATCCATTTTCCATCCCTTCACAAATCCCAAGCCCCTCTGTTATTCTCTGACATGTCCATCACCAAAATCTTCTATAGCCTCAAATTTTTCTCTGAATGTTCCCAACTTTTTTTCTAACTGAAATCAGGTTCTTCCCTAAGGAGCCTCCTGCAGCCTTCTCAAAACAGCAACTGTTTTCTCTCCCCCAAGCCCCACCTCCCCAGGCCTACAACTGAGAAAGATGTCCAAGTTGTTCCTCACTGCCTCTTCAAAACCATCATACCTTCTTTCACTGAACTCCTTCTTTAAAAAATCTCTGACTTTGACTTTCCTTGTCTTAGACTGTACCATCTGCCACAATTCCTGGTCATACATATAGACCCAGGTTACTTCCCTATGTTTAAAAAATATTAGTACAGTGTTTATTATCACTCTCCAATATTATCCCACTAATAATTACTGGCAATCATACGATCCACACAGACCTCATCCATTCCTTGAACTCCTTTTCTCCAGTGTCTTCTGTAGTGATCATCCATTTCCACTGTCACATCCTGTATCAGTAACAGTATTCCTTTCCATTTTATTTCTAAATATTATACTCTTCAACCACTACTGCTGTCTCTAACAATTCTTTTCATTCCATCATGACCTACAATCCAATGACCTTATTAACTTCTGCTGACCCAAACAGGCCCAGCATCAAACACCTGGCTGCAAAATCAGAGCCACAGAGAGGCAACAGGCCCTCTGCCCCCGTGCTTGACTGATAGTATTCTTGTACAACCCATTGTAGCAGTTTGAAATGCCTAGTTTTCTAGTCCAAGTCCTCTAATAAATACCTAATCCTAAAATACACTGGTTCTCTTCCCTGACTGAACCCTGAATTTGGTGCAGGAAGCAGTTAAAGGGAAACAGGACCCAAAGGCTATAAACATGAATTGTTTTTCTGCTTGGAGTAAAGGCATTAATGACCCTGAACAGTATATAGGACATGATGCAGTGGCAAAATAGTATTTCACTACTATTTATCATCTGCAGACAAGGACCAGGGAACAAATCATTCAGTAAATATGTTGCTGCTGCTAAAGATTTTAATAGAAGTAAGTTGTCAAAACTTAAGTTGTTAAAAGTAATTTGCTTAGGGTTGGAGATGTAGCTCAGGAGTGCAGCACCTGCCTGGCAAGCACAAGGCCCTGAGTTCAATTCCCAGTACCAAAAAAATAAAAAGGAAAAAAAAGATCAAATAAATCAATAAGAGTAAGTTGCTCAGTAAAAATAATGGGTTAACTGTTTCTAAGTACACTGGAGAATTCTTTTCTTGAGAAAAGAAAATGATGAGCTTAGCATTTTAAATATACAGCTCATGGTCTAAAGACTTAGGTCATGTGGCCACAGAGCTCACAAAGCACATCCTGCAGGCAGCTGAATTACAACGCAAAATTCAGCTCACCTCCTTGGAGGGCCTCTTACATGAAAGTTAGGACCTTGACTGGCAAAGAATAAAAGCCTTGAAAATTGACATGGAGACATATAGACAGATTCTGATGGAGCCGAGTGCCTGAAACTCCTAAAATCTGTCAAGCTTTCTTCACCACTGGAAGCAGTCATTCATTCCACGTCTGAGGAATCAAGTCTCCTTTGCCTGAAAGCTACACAAAGGCATCCCCCGAGACACTTACCTTATAGGCTTACTGCTCATCATGCTACAGACCTACTCCTAAAACCTCTCATTATTGAGATGCATAACCAGACTCAAATCCCAGAAAATCTTGGAGGTTGGGTACAAAATGTGACCCGTGCATACATGCAATATGTATGAAAAGATCTGCAAGATCTGGCCAACTTATGTCAACACAAAGCTGGGTTGATACATACGTACACAAATATGTATCTTAGAGTCCTCTTCCCTAAATGTTTCTACACTAGAGTTGGGCAGAAGAGAAGTACGTGTCACATTCAGAAAACAGAAGAAAAGCAGCAGCCACTATGCTCTGCAGGTTGGGGTGATCTGAGGCAGGATGTAGCAGGGCTGGCAGGTTTAATCTGTTCTCATGCTTCCTTTCCCTATTCCATGTCACCTTCCCTACTCCGTATCCAAATAGCTAGTCTTCTCAACTGCCAGGCCTGCTGACCAAGAGCAACCCCAGGCCCACCAGAAACACAACTAACACCTGGAGACATGGTAGCTGCATGCTCTGGATTCTGAGGCCACCTTTGCAGTGTCATACCAAAAGGTAAGTATTAACTATTTTTTATAACTGTATGGTATGTCTATAGAGAACAGTTTTGTACAATATATTTTAATTTTTTCATTTTTACATGCCCTTTAATGAGGATTTATAAGTTTTATAGAAAATAAACATGCAATTTTAAACATTTCAGGCAAATCTCTCTAACCTGGAACACTAAATTTCCCTGGGGGAAAACAAATAAAAGGAGCTTTTTCATCCTAAAAGAATAAAAAAAAAAGAAAACTTACATCATTAGATTGAAACAATCGAGTCATTGCAAAGAAGGCTTCTGTAGCTTCCACAGTTCCAAAGTGTTCACCCTAAGTAAAATTTGAAACAATTTTTTAAATTTTAAAATGCAGATGCTAAGAACTTTCTCTTTATTTCTGCATAAATCTTTTAAAAGCCAGGAAAAGTCTCTTTGTGAACATTCTGCTTCTTGGTAATTTTTCTGGCTTTCAATTTACAAACCTGCAGGGCCATTTATGCATACCTTATTTAAAATAATTCAGTGTTGCACAGCACACTTAATGTTATGGAACAGTGCTAAGCTTTTAACAGACACTGCTTTTACTACCCTGAAGAAAGATCTACAAGGAGACAGAATATGATGCAAGTAGTTTCTAATCAGAATAGGATGCTAGTATTACACTGCCCAACAGCAGAGATCATTCCTTGCACATTTCAGTAGTCTAATGCCTAGCACAATGCCTGATATATCATAGGAACATAATAAATATGAACCTATAGGAACTGTCTATGAGAAATCCCAGAAAATACACCAAAATGGGGTCCAATCAAAAAGAAATGATCCAGATTCATTGTGTCACCATGGCTTAAGTGACTGCTACAGATCCCATAAAAATATGATTTGGATCAGCACTTCATAAAATTTAACCTAGATCCATTTGTAGATCCTGCTGAAATGCAGATTCCAATTCATTGGAACCCTACTTTTTGACTCAAAACTCACAGAACACGTGGCTCTGTTAACTTCAGTAGAATTTTAAAGTGTTTTTCCATAAAGATCTAACAAAAACCAGGAAAAGAGATAAAACAAATGTTCCCAAACCCGTTCGTGTGGTTAATTATGTTTATCATATGCTTGATAATTTCCTTATCAAGGCAACTGTTTCAACATGAATTGCCCCATGATAAAGGTACTGGCCAATATAAAAGAATATGCGGGGCTGGGGATTTAGCTCAGCGGCAAAAGCACCTGCCTGGCATGCTCAACGTCGTGAGTTCAGTTCCCGGTACCAGAGAAAAACCAAAAACAAAAAAAAAAATAAATAAATAAAAAAATAAAAGAATATGCTATTCTGAATCAACTCTGACAACTCAAAAACTCTGTTTATATTATGTATTTAGCCTATTTGGACATAATTCCAAAGGGAAAAGTTAAATCAAACTGACTGTGGCTTAAGTATTTACAATATGCTGCTACAGAGGGATTATGCTGTTTGTAAAAAAATATTTTATTTAAAACTATATTCTGTTGCTCAGTCTTAGTTTTGAAAGCTTTATTAAATCTCTGAATGAGATCTTCAGTTACAAAACAGTAAAAATAAAGCATTCTCTTAGAATTCAAATTGCAAACTATAGTCTTCTCAGTATCTTATGATCTATGAACAAAAGTATACTGCTTAAGGCTCTAGAAATTTCATGAGATTTTTTACAATGTGAAACAAGAAAAAAAAAGTGATAGTGATAGATCTATATTCTAGTGATAGATCTATATTCCATCTAGTGATAGATTTATATTCCATGGCAAGTATTATTTTGGTTTTGTCTGTTATATCCCAGTGCCCAGAACAGTGCACAAGACACAGCTGGAATGCGATAAATACTTGCTGAGTAACCATACGACAGCTGTTTCTGAATGTTTACCATGTGTTTAGCACTATTCTCAATGCTTTATGTTTACTATTTCCTTTAATCATTATAACTTCATAAAACAGGTATTACCATAATCCTCAATGCAGAACAGGACATTGAGGCCCATAATGATTAAATTACTTGCCCCAAATCATATCCCCTATAATACTGGAACAGGGATAATAAACATGAAATCTGAATATTAAAATCAAAGTTTTAAAACATCATTACTATACAAAAAAATCTGAAATTTGCCTGACTTTGCGCTATATTTTCAGAAAACCATAAAGACCCCCAAAATATACACACAATATGGTCTCATTTGTACTTATTAAACTGACACCAATATATTTATTAAGAATCTACTTAAATGTGCTTAAATGGTTTAATAACCTCATGACTATAAAAAGAAACATCATACACCTTTTGCTCTAAGAGTTTTGCATATTATTAATCAAATGTGGATTTTAAAATTCAGTAAATTTTTAAAAAATTACTATACTTTCTAGAAAACACTTACTGTATGTTACATATTTCTGCTCTGTCACACAAATCTCAGGAAAAATCAAAATAATTTACCTGGTTCAGTAAGTAGAGAATCTTGGTAAGAATATGCAAACATCTTCTTGGATTGATAGGAGTTTCATTGAATATACGAGCCTAGGTAAACATTAAAAACATTATGCTCATATAGTGCATTTACCATCACAAATTACCTCAACTCAACTGTAATAAAGACTGTATTTAATACAATCTCCAGAAAGTTCTCACTTTACTATAGTATATGACAAATTATTAGATGTGGCCTTGATTTTCCAATTTCTAACTCATTCCTTAGTTTAACCATCTATGGGCTTCATCCATAGGGCCTTTATGTTAAAAGGCAGTCACCATATTTATCAAATGAACACAACGAGGTGCATTTCCCAACACATAGCAAAGCCCACATTTCCATAAGCTCTATTCTGTGACATGTAAATCCTCCTCTTTTTTCTTAAAGCCTCTATTTTTTTAACTCAATTACATTCCTTAATTCTCATTTTGGATGTCCTGATCATAGTATCCCAGAGGTTCTTTGCACACCATTCTAAAAAAAATAGAAAACAAAATCACAATTTACTTTCAAGCCATACCTCCTGTAAGACAGCACTCTTCTCCAGATGCTGGAAAGGATTGGAGCCACTACCTATAGCATAAAACAAAACAAGTCTTCAGTAGCTGCCCTACACATTTATTTTCTAGATAAGGGCACTAAATGTTTGGGAAATCTCAAGTGAGGTGATCACTTAGCTATCACAGTGATAATACTTATTAATATGCATATAAACCGAATGCAGTCATTTTGATTCTGATACAAGTCCTGTCGTCACATACTCTAAGAGCTTGGATTTCTTTTGCAGGAACCATACCCAAAACGCACGTCTTCTTCCCTGCCCTCCCCCGCCCCCAACGAATGTTACAAACGTGTCATTCCCACACAACGAAGATTAATTACATTATGGTACCTCACTTTTGATTTAGCTAAAAGCAAGGCCTGTTTTATGTGTTTCTAAAATTTACTGAAAGGCACAGATAAAGAGTTGCGTAGAAAATCACATGAAAATAAACCTGGATGAGGCCACGGGTGTTAACTAACCTAACCCTCTACCACGCTTGGCAGCTTTCAAACGCTGGGAATTTTTTTTCTTTTGGGGATGGCTTGGCATCTTCCCCAGCTGCTCGTAAGTCACTTCTGGATGCAGGATGTTCCATGGGATGGCTGGCCTCTGGGAACAAGTGACAACCAAAGGCCACCAAGAAGACTAGAAGGTACACGCCACCTCCACGTCCATATATACGCACTCGCTGCCCCGTGGGCCCCAGCCCCGGAGAAGACGGTGTGTACTCGGGACCTTAAATCACCAGCACTCCCGGCCACATAGGCCGGCGCAGCCGTCCTTCAGGGCGGCTGCAGACCCGCGGGACTGCGGTTCGGAGGGGCTCAGCGGAAGGGGGGATGGGGGCGGAGCCAGGCCGGGGGCGGGGCTACGGAGCAGCCCGAGGCGGTGCGCGCGCCCGGGCGGGAGCGCGCGGTCCAAGGGGAGGCCCCGGCGCCCGGGGGAGGGGCTACGGCAGGCCCCCGGCTGGAGCGCCCACGCCCCCAGCCCAGCAGTCCGGGAGACCTGGTGGCGGCGGGCGAAGGAAAGGGGCGCCCGCGGCTGAGAGTGGGCGACAGAAGCCCCGCGCGTACCAGACTCCTCGTCCTTCTTGTCGAATTTTTTAATCATCTTGGACGACTTCCCAGCGCCCAGACCCACTGCAGCCGTCCCAGGCGCTGCGGCCGGCAAGCGGAAGAGGCTGCAGGAAGCCTGCCCCGTCTCTTCCCACCGGTTGGGCCGCCAGGCCGTCACTCGAGGCCAAGGCCCGCCCTCCCGAGCCGTCGCTGCCTCCCTCACCCCTTTGGAAACGTAGCCACGCTTTTTGGTCTCCCCGCCGTCGCGAGGGGCGGGCCCGGGCTTCGCCCCGCCCACTGCCCGCAGCTCGGCGGCACACGCTTGCAGACTGCTGCGAACTGATTTTATTTGTCGGCTTCTACAGGGCCCTCAGCCGCCGAGAGCGAGGCGAGAGCCCTGAGGCGTTTGTTTTCACTTAACAAGAGTGGCATTTTCGATTATCCACTGCTGGGCCCTTCCGTTGCGGAAGGAGTTTTCCCCCGGCGCGTTCCGGGTGGGCTTCTCTTTCAGAAGCGATGAAAGTGTGAGTGGTTCCTGGAGCAACTGGGAAGTCGGCGATTCACTCACTGACTTCTTGGAAGCTACGACAAAGCACAGGGCATCGTAGTGAATGTCATTTCCAAACGCGCTAGAAGGGTACTTACTTAGTGGAGGCTTGGGAGGACCGGAAAGCTGGTCTTTGCTCCTAGCCAGAGGGTACATCTTTTGGTTCGCAGACTGCCATTCCCAGCTTGAATAACGGGATTCCTTCTCTGCATCAAAAGCCAGTTTAAAGGCACACTGCCAGTGTAATCTTTCTTGCTTAGGCCCACCCTTTTCAAGGGATTCCACCTCCAGCCATTTTGATAGTTAAGTCTCTAAGTTGATGTGCACCCATGCATGCACTCGCGTACCTCTTTAGCCTTTGAGAGTGTATACGTTGGTGTTCTGGTGTTTGGGAGTGTGACAAACTTTAACTACCTTTGGCTTCAATGGCGTTACTGTATCCAGATTCTCTTTTAACCTCTGCCTGTTTTTCTGGAAGCTGGGATCGTCTTGCTACCACCCCTCCCCACTTTTTGGATGCATCTTGCCCTGTACATTATCCCTAGAATCTTATCCCTTATCTCTACTCGCATCACTTAGGTTCCGGTCCTGTCCTCTGCTTGGACAGCCTCCTAACTAGTTTCCAAGGCGTCCACTCTAACAGTTCTTAGTGTAATCTTTATTTGGATGTCTCTTAAACAAGAGGCAGTATTTTGGAGGGGGAACACTGGTTCAACTCTTCAGCAGATGTGTCTTTGTTTAGGAAATGCTCCATAACGAGTCCTTTACGAACAAAAGTAAACTAAGTACCCATTTTTCTTTTTTAGGGAAACTGCAAGTCACCTTACCGAGCTACCAGCTGAGATTAAGTGTTTTCTTTGTAAATATAAATTGAGTGCATGCTGTTAACCACCTTGCTGTTGCAAAATTAGAGAAATTCTAATCTAAGAGTCTAGAGAAGTTCCTTCCCCTTTATAAGCTTTAAGCTGAACTGCAGTATCCTACATATGGTATCATTTAATATTTAACTCACACTTGACTAAATGTACTGTATTAACTGTTACATTTGCTTTCTCTGGCTTATAATGTTCAAACCATGCTTTCCATGTAAAATTTCTCTTGGAAGAAATAGATGTTTGCATTTATATAGTCTGGGGCTGAAAATAAACAGGCTTCGGGAAGGAGAGATCCACTTCTCCTTCACTGGGCTAACTGTATTGGGAGCTAAGCAGAATAGTGTTCATAAGCTTGGAGAGTCCCAGGAATGGGAATGTGACAGAGGCCTGCTGCGAAGTACAAAGAAACTGAGGTTGGGGTGAGGCTGAACCTAAGAGTGGCCCGTTTTAAAGAAAAATAAATCACTCTGTGAGGCTTTTGTTCTACATCAAATTCTGTTTCATGCCACAGGCTGGTTTTAGTCACATATGGAGAGTTAGGGAGAAGCAGTAAGTGGGGATGGGAGGGGTGGCATAGGTGTAGGAAGAACAGAGAAGCCTGAAGAAGTCAGTTAAGGAATGGTGCAATATGACCTCACTCCTCTGGGACTGCAGGCTGCAAATGGCTGGCAAAGGTGTTAGGTAGTCACCGGGATGGCCTTGCGGGACAGGTAAGGTTGCCTTTGGGGGAGTCTCAGACACTGTTGAGAGAAACCCAGTGCGGGGAGTGGACCTTTTTTTGCAGCCATGGCTGGTGAGGCTAGGGGCCCATCAGTTACATGTTTAATACACATTTGTGTATCCAGTGCCCTTCGGAGGGCCCCAACTGCCAAATGGAGAAAATTTATATACTGTAATATCCAAAGCTGTTCATGATCTGGTCCATCTATCTCACATATTGAAAGTGCTATCACTGGTGTTTGCTAAGTGTCCCACATTGAATGGGTATCCTATAAATGTTGTTAAATGAAAGACAGCATATGAGGAGTGCTTTCATTAACACCCTCTTCCATACAAACTTATTTTAAACCCCTTCCATCCCATCCCCACACCAACCCCAAAGAGACTTGTTAATCCCTGAGACTCACACATTTATCCTTTGACTCTCCTAAAGCAGTTTCCCTCAAAGTAAGATATGCATATGTCTGGGTGGTTCTATGTAGTACATAGGTAAACATTTTAAAATGTATAAATTCGTATACCAAAACCATGCTGTCAAGAATGTGACATGATTTAGGGAAAGAATTTTTAAAATCCTTTTAAAGAAAAATGTTACATAAATAATAGAGCAAATCACATTAATAATATGCAAAAAACTGTAAAAGGAGGTGATATAGTTTGGGAAACACTATGCTTGCACTTTCTTAAAATTTTGGCTTTAAACCGAGTTCAAAGCCTTCACCACTTGAGCTTCTTTTAGCTCTTGGCCTTCCTGCTACTAGGAAAAAGTGTCCAGAACCACTAATATCAATTTCCCCATATCCCTAATCCTCATAGATTCTACCTCTAGCCCACATCTCAGTCCAATAAACCACTGCATTGAAAGAGAACTTACCATCTTTCATCTCGTCTCTTTCATAGGCAGGAGCAAAGTTAAGCTGTGGGTACATTTTTTTCTGTTTCCTCAAAGCATAGTTTTTCGAATACTGTCCTTCAGTCTTAAAGTCATTGTCAGTGGAAAACCTTAACCAAAACAGAAGTTCATTGAGTGGATTCTGAGGCAGGAGGATGATGGTACTGCACACTTTACAACTGGCTACATCCTCAGGGTTTTGGGGAGAGAAGAGGGGACAATGACAAGAAGCTGTTGATTAGTGAGAGCAGAGTGAGGGAGCATCGTTCAGTAGCCAGGTAGCACTGCCAACCCTTGAAGTAACTTCAGATTCTCCTTTCTTTTCTTCAGAACAGGTAAAAAAGGTGCTCCAATAACTGGTTTCAAATAAGACCTCTGCTGTCTTTTGTGTTTTTATGGCACATTGTTCCTACACTAAAGTCTTTAATTTGCTCAAAATGCAGACGTTAGAATAGACCACTTCCCTTCAACTTGAAATCGCAATCAGTGGAAAACTTTATCTTTGCATTACTGTTTCTCTTCCATTGGTGTGTATTAAAGGTCATGTAGGTTGAAAGTTCCTGAGGTCAAAACCCATGTAGGGAAGCTGTGTCTCGGTATTACATAGTTGGACAGGCTCCTTACAACTAAAACTATGTGAGGAACTTTCTCACTGAGCCTTGTTCTGTACAACCTTATCCAAAACCCCTTTGGCCCCCTTCTGTATTTGTTAAATTGTATTGAAAGAAAAGACAAGAAAGACTTTGAGTACAAGAGCCAGTGCTTTACCTAAACCATTGTTTTTCCTTGGATTTAGGATCATGAAAATTTTTCAAATGGAAGACTGGTTTCAGCCCAGATCTCAACTTTTTTTTCTGAGGCATCACGGAAGGGCAAAAGTTCTTGGTGGGCTTGTGCTGATGACTTTCCTATATGTGACAAAGGCAGAAAAAATAGGCAAGTAAGCTGAGTCCCTTGGGAGTGAAGAAGGAGGGGAAAAGGGGGAAGT